ATGGGCAATACTAGCAATGGCACATGGACATGGAATCTAAATTGGAGAAGGAACCTGTATGAGTGGGAGGTTGATGATGCCGTGGAACTCCAAAAGAGGATAGAAAATGTGAAGATAGTAGAAGGAGACCTGGACAGTTGGGAATGGAGTCATGATAAGGGAGGCCAATATTCAACCAAAACTGTGTATTCTCTTCTAACATGGGAGCAGGTGGAATTGAAGGAAGAGAAGACATACAAAAGAATATGGAATCCCATCTTGCCAAGTAAAATTTCAGCTTTCAATTGGCAATTAGTATTGGATAAAATTCCAACCAAAGCTAATTTGATAAGAAGAGGGATCATTAAGGATGTGACAGAAACTAAATGTGCCCTTTGTAATGAAGAAGAAGAGAATGCTACTCATTTGTTCTTAAAATGCAAAATTGCAAGGTGGGTATGGAAGGCTTGCTCTAAGTGGTGGGGGTCAAAGATGATGGTGAACAGAGACTGCTGGAACACTTTTCAACTCCTCGGGATGAATACCAAAGGATCAAAAACCAGAGAAGGCATGGATAGCAGCTGGAAAACAACCGTTTGGTCCATTTGAATTGCTAGAAACCAGAAAATCTTCCATAGTAGAGAGGTAAATCCTAATACACTCTTAGAACTTATTCAAATGAGATCTTTCTGGTGGATCAAAGCAAGAAAAGATTGGGCTACTGTTACTTTCTCAGATTGGTTGTTTGATCTAGTTGCATGTTTCAAAACTTGATATAGTGAGCGAACAGTGCATAATTAGGGGGCTTTTCCTTATGTTTCTGGTATGTAAAAATAGGAGATGGTGTTGTTTATGGGTTTGAGTACCCCTTGTACTCTATATTCTCAATAAAACTTTTGCCGTTCAAAAAAAAAAAAAACATTGATTGCTTACCTCTCAAACGCATCAGTTCTTCCTTCTCAACTGACGGCCATCCTGGTACCTCTGCAATAAATCATAACTTTAGAATCAAGGAAGGATATATTTGTAAAAAAAGAAAAGAAAAGAAAAGAAAAAGATTTACAGGAAAAATATATTTCTAAAAAAAAAAAAAAGGATTTAGGAAGAATATAATGTGGAAAATGATTAAGAAATATTTATTTGTGTATAAATTTTTATATATCCTTGATGGTGTACAATA